TAAACTTAGCTCCTATGAATAATTCTGTGAAAACCCTCCCTACCACTGACTCCCTGTAAGCATAATTCATGGTTTCTGATAATGGTCTTCTCTCTCAGAAAAATAAAGGTAGAGAGGAACATTATCGTAAGGAAAGAATTTTGATACCTATCAAAAATCTTGGGGCTGGAGAGAGAGTACAGCGGGCAGGGAGTGTACCATGCATGTAACTGACTTGATTTTGATCCCTCAAACCCCAAATAGTCCCCAGAGCCCTGCCAGGAGTGATCCCTGAGCACAGAGCCAGGTCAAGCCCTGAGCATTGCCAAAACAACAACAACAAAAATCTCAAGCACTCCAGAAACCGTGAGAGCCCCAGCCAAGAGGGATGCACACCGCAGAACCACAGCAAAAAATGTTACTTTCATTTCCTTTCCAAACACAAGCAACAGTGTGAAATTAATAAAAAGAAATGAGTTTGGTGTTAGGCAGATCTTGATGGATTTCTGGTTCAACCACTTACTGGTTGCTGACACCTTTCTTTATATTTATTTTTTATTTTTAATTAGTGAAACACCATGTGGTACAGTTGTAGACTTACAAGTTTTTGTGCATAGGTTTCAGTTATATAATGATTGGGTACCCATCCCTCCACCAGTGCCCATTCTCCACCTCCAGTGTTCCCAGTTCCCTCCCACCCACCCCATCCCCCCCACAACTTTCAAATCATTTACTGTCACTTGTGCATTGGGTATAACCGACCTATTCTGCAGTTTTAAGCATTATATTAGCAAGTGTAATCATAAAGAGCCCAATGCAGTGCCTGGTACAAAGCAAGACTCAACAAATGATAGTTACTGTAATTAGAGAGAGGAGTACTGCCAGTCAACAACTACCACTGTGACAAAAACTAAAAATGATAAGGTTAATAGGGGTTAATAGTAACAAACAGCAAGTTGCTATGCCCAACAGAGTGCTTCTCTTGTTATTAAATTTAACTTACAAAGAAGTTGTGAAACAGATGCAGCCCTATTTTATAGATGCTCATGCTGGGGATCAGAGAGATTTGCTGATTTATTAGCCCAAGATTTTATCAAGGAGTAATTTGCACACCCAGAAATTTCAATCTAGTTCAAGCTTTTGATGACTATGCAATGCTGACTATAAGTTAAGGAAAAACCAGCCAACCTTCTACAAAACAGTAGCTACTCAAGGCATCTGTTGAACCAGGTGTATTTTCTCCAGGCCACATGGAGACTACTTCCGCTCAGTGGGGTCTCAAAGAAGACACCACTTTCTTTCCATTTCCTCTCCCTGAATCTTCCTATTGCTGAAGTCCAGCAGAAAAATCCATGACCAAGCTGAAGAATAGTGAAGTGTTCAGTGAAGCCTGAACTGGCTGAACTGAATTAGTTAATGCTGACCTCCTATAACTCCCTCTTTGAGTTGACATTAAAATTATAATAAATAGAATATTTACATTTCTCAAATTTTTTACTTTCCACACTGAATTGCTTTTTACCAGGAGCCTGACACAATTTCACGACAACAGAATTAATTGGAGAGGCTGAACATTACCAGAAACTTTCATTTCTTCTCTTTCATCCGGGTTTATCTTTTCTACTGCATGAGATACAGTACATTCCAAGACATCTGGAAACTCCTGTAATAAAAACACAATCCACACCACAAATAGGAAATTAATACTTCTGATTACCTAGATCATTACTTTATCAAAAATAGCCCTCTAGAAATAGAAAATGTTTACGATATCAGGACTCTGTACCTAAGATGGGCTATACAGGTATTCTTTAAATTTAATTTTATAAAGTTGTTTACAATAATTGACTACATTTAATATTCAAACACCAATCCCACCGCTATTACACCTTTCCACCACCATATTTCAAATGTTTCCATCCCAAACCCCAAACCCTGTCTCCAAAGTAGAACTAAAGTAATTCTGTATTGCTTGTTATGAATAATCCACTAAAAATGATCCAAAAAGTTTCCACAGAGGAAAGTGTGTGAACTGTATTTCAGCCTGGAGCCATTAGGTGCTTCAGTAAGAGAACTAACATGTTAAAGGTTATGCCTTGTTATACAGGTTTGTTAAGCTTTGGAATAATGGTTAAATGTTGTGTGAGTCCATTTTCTGGGGAAAAGGGTTACATTTTGATTAAGTACTCAGGGATGTGTGCAGAGCCAGAAAGATAGCTCAATGGGGAGAGTGCTTCCTTTGCAAGTGGGAGATCTGAGTTCGATTCCTGGCACCACAATCCTCTAAGCAACACCAGGCACAAACCCGAAAGCACTGAGCCAGGACTAGCCCAGCACATCACTGCGTTTGCCCCCCCCACCCCAAAAAATAACCCCCAAACAAACAAAAATGGTGGTGGGAGTGGCATTATGTGAAGAGTCAGAATCACTTACACAGTAGGTAATTTTACTTAGGTAACAAACCAATGAAAAATATCCATTCCAGAGAACAACATGTAAAACTCTCTTTATATTAACCACAAACATTAACTAGAGATTTTTTTTTTAGTGTAATAAAACAAACAAACAAAAGTTAAGGCGAGGGATTTGACTCAGTAGTAATGCACTTTCTTTGCACAAGTGAAATCTTCGGTTCTATCCCTAGCAGCACTGGGCGGGGTGGAGGGGTACTTCTAGGTAGATGGTATAGTAGGTAAGGAATTTGCCTTGCATGCAGCCAAACCGGGTTCAATCTCTGGCGCCACTATGGTTGATCCCTTGATGATTCCAGGGCAGAGTGAGGAGTAAGCCCTGAGCACTTCTGGATGTAGCCCTCAAACCAAAAAAAATTAAAGGGCAGAGGGATTATTCCTATGCATAATAATGAGTAGTCTGGGCTGGACAACTAGTACAGTAGGCAGGCTGTTTGCCTTGCACACATTTGATCCAGGTCCAATCCCCAGTATCTCATCTTGTTCCCTGAGTACCACCGGGAGTAATTCCTGAGTGCAGAGCCAGGAGTAAACCTTGAGCATCACCAGGTGTGTCCAAAAAGAAAAAAAAAAGGTTAAGAAAAACTGAATAGTTTATCAGGAAAGTGATATATGATAAAACATAGAACGGAAACATGAATTCACACTTGTAAAATTAAAATAAAAAGTGAGGCCTTTGTAAAAATTTTTGAGCACATTACAATGCCTGGCACATTTACTGCTTAGTAAATACTTTTAAGTCATACATAAATAGTGAAAGGTCATTTCAGAAAAACAGAAACTGACATATTAATAAATGTCTGCCTAGTCTGCCTTGCCTTGACAGTTATAGATTTACAGTGTGTTCAGAGGAACAAGGTAAAAGCAGTCTACAATTTGTTATGAGCTTTTAGCAGAGCTGGATTCCAAAAAGTAATTTACAGGGGGGGGGGGGGGAGAGAGAGAGAGAGAGAGAGAGAGAGTTAGTTTATTTTGGTTTGGGGACTACTTCCAGTGTTCATGACTTACTCATGGCTTTGCACTCCAGGATCAGTCCTGGCAATGCTTGGAGGACCAAATGAGGCACGGGGGATCAAACTGTATCTGGCCACAAGCAAAGCCAGCACCCTACCTTCTGTACTATCTTGCTGGTCCCTGGTACTATTTATATTAATGTGAAAAGGAATCTTAATATTTCATCAGCCAAATATTTTTAATTAAATAAGCAATTATACTTAGTGGCTACATTACAGGAGTGGTGATCTTCCAAATCCATCTACCTAACAAAAATATCTGTAAGCCCCTCCTCCCTCTGTTAGAGCAAATAAACACAGGAACTAAGCATTATGAGTAAACTGGTGGAAATCAAGCACACAAAAGCCGACTATCTTGTCTAGATGAAGTGGGAACTACAATGTCCGGTTTATGCCTGAGGGTCAGACTGTCCTTCCAGCAAATTAGTCACAGGGTCTTTTATGCTAATAGCCTGACTTCCCTAGCAAAATTCAGGAAATGCTGGCTTACTTACAGAGATAATTTTAACAGAGATAATTTCTTTATTCATGTATTACTCACCCTGACCGAATCTGGGTTGATTTGGGAACTCCACTCATTCAAGGTCTTTTGGATACAATCTCGAAGCTGTAAAAAGAATGTGATTTGAAAACTGTTTGTTAAATTCTAAACACTTTTTTGGGGGGTAAACCAATGATAAGAATGATTTATTAGTTTGATAAGTAGAAAAAAAAGGATGTTAATAGGACAAACAAAAATTTTAGTTCTGCAAGGTTCCTGTTTTCTTCAACAAATACGTACGTAGGTCTATTAGGCCTATTTTTGTCTCAATCTGAATTCTCAAGTGCTTCTAATAGAAAGCAATAATTACTGTTTTTGTATGGGTATTCTGTGCTGCGCATGCATGCCCAGGATCAAACCTAGGGCCTCTTGCATGCAAGGCATGCAGTCTACCTTTGAGCTTACCCTAGGATCAAGTGGTATATTTTGTTTTGTTTTCCATTTTTGGGTCACGACCCATGGTGGAGAGGAGAGGGAAGGAGCTACTCCTGGCTAAAAGCTTGGGAATCTATCCTAGCAGTGCCTGATCAACCACGCTGTGCCAAGGGGGCTTGCATGTGCTCCAATCCTCTGAGCTATCTCTCCAGTCCCATTATTATTTTGGTTTGGTTTTGGTTTATTGGTTTTGAGGCCTCACCTGGTGGTAGTGAGGGTCTACTTTGGTCTGGTGTTGGTGCTGTGGGGTTGTTTCCCTTGGTGTTCAGGGGGTCATGCAGAGCTGGTGATCAAACCAAGGGATCCAGCAAACGAAGTACATACTCTAGCCCTCTGAACCATTTCTCTTGCCCAGTTAATTATTTTTAAAGTTCCAGTGAAATTTAACTAAACTTGGGCCTGGAGAGATATAGTGTGGGCAAGGCACTTGCTTTGCATGTTGCTGACCCAGGTTCCATCACCAGCACCCCATATGATCCCCTGAGCTTACCAGGAGGGATTTTTGAGCACAGACCCAAGATTTTGAGCACAGACCTGTGCACTGCCAGATATGATCTTAAACAAAGAAACAACAAAAAACCCAAGACATTTAATTATATAATATGAAATTAAAAAGCATTCATAAACAAAATTTCTTTTTCAAAAAGAATTTTTGAAAAATTGGAAAAAAATCGATTAACCCTTATGCTATTTTCCTCAAACATAATTTTTAATGTATGGCCAGAGGGACTCATACATCAGATTTGGCTGTGGATTAAAAAGTTAAAACTCCAGAGCCCATCCTTGACTTATGGAACCCTTGTTTTCGTTTGTTCTTTTTCTTTTGGTGCCAGGGATCAAACCCAGGACCTCACACATGCAAGGCAAATGCTCTACTCAGCTACATCCCTTGCTCTCAATCAGTTTCTAAGGGCAGCAGAACTTGCACCTTTACAAGCTTCACAATAACTCAACCATACCCTAAAGCCTAAGATTCACCATTGTCACATCTTAGACGTCAGCTTGCATGTGAATCCATAAATCATTTAACACTTGTCTTCAATGTTTTCTTGTAAACAAAAAAAAAATTACATGAATATCATAGTATGTTGCAAATTCATTAAACTTTTCACCTTTCATTTCTTAGGTCAGTGTATTTTAAATGTTATTTTATTTTGTAGTGATCCGAAGTCAGACATACATTCACAGAGTGAGCAAGAATATACACATATGTAACAAAAACTGTTACAAAATTTTGATGTCCACTACACATCAGGCATTCTGATAGCCTCTATTCTACTAAGAAAAACCAAATTGCCCCATGATTCACTAAACTTATTTAAAACCACTAATGGAAAACATCGACAATTTGAAACCACTGCCTTATAAATACCCAAGGGCAGAAAGTTTTGCATTCCATAGGCAATCAATGAAAAAAAATAAATGAGTAACTAGAAGCAAGTCCCTGAATTGCAAAAGCACTTTCCTAATAATGACAAACTTTTGAACTTACTATATAATCTATGACTGCTGATAATTAAAACTGATACTAGTACTTTACTACTATATTTTAGTATAGACAATTAGAAGGAACAGCCAGTTTAGCACTCAGAGTCACCTGTAATATTTGTAATACAAAAGAATAACTTATATATTATTTACAATAATCCACATGAATTTAATTTATAAGTCCTGTATTTTTTTTTTGCTTTTTGGGTCATACCTGGCGATGCACAGGGGTTACTCCTGGCGGTGCTCAGGGGACCATATGGGATGCTGGGACTCGAACCCGGGTCAGCCGTGTGCAAGGCAAACACCCTACCTGCTGTGCTATCTCTCCAGCCCCAAGGCCTGTATTTTTATGGAAAGTATGTTTACAATTAAGGTTACATTTGGTAGAAAAAACTTATCTGATAATCACCCTGGAAAATTGAAAGTCAATACTCCTTTAAACATTAAGTAACATTAGGGTTGAAAATATAGTTCAGTGGTACAGTGCATGTATGAGATGGAGTTCACTCCACGGCACTACAAAACAAAAAGTAAAATTTGAAGAATTGACTAGAAGTTAGTTCTGTCAGGAGAATTTTGGCTCAAAGTAGAAGTTCAAGAAATTTTCCTTTAGAAGGGTGAAAATATTCACCCTTTCTTAAAATAATTTTACCCTGGCTTCTCAAAAATGTTAGGACAAAGTGTAGAACATGTTTCAATAAAGTTAGAAATTCATTGGCTTTGTCATAAGCTTAGTGATTTTTAATATTTTTTAAAAAATATTTATGCTTTGGGGCCACAACCAGAGGTACTCTGGGATCAGTTCTGGTGGGGTTGGGGGAACCGTACAAGGTATGGGGATCAATCCTGGGTCAGCTGTGTGCAGAGCAAGCACTACCCACGGTACTAGCACTCTGGCCCAATTTTTAATCTTTCAAATGTTATCTATAGTGACTGAATATTAACCTGACATTTTTCTGTTCTCTGATCTCTACATTCTTATCATACATACATAGTATCATTAAAGTAGCTGCATTATGTATACTATGAGATCTGGAGTTGTTAAAAGAGTTTTTTAAAATACCAACATGACTCAACTTGTGGAATAATTGGTGGCACAGGGGTAAAGTACATTCTTCTGGATGTAGTGCAGAATTCAATTCCTGGAGCTCCTCCTACCCCATATAATGGTCACTTGTTCAATAACCTTAAAGAACTAGACAAAATAATGCTACAATGGCCTGTTTGAGAAATTATTTCATAAAATTTGAATGAAACAAAAAATCTCAGTCAAGGTTACAGGATTTTTTTTAAACATCAAGAACACTTTAAGTACCCAAACTCACCAGTGTGCAATTTTTTTCAATAATGAATGATTTATTCAGTTTTTTTTTATTCAATGAGATCAAACTACTTCAAACTGCATACACTAATCTGAAGCTCAGCTCTAACTATGCCATCACACTTTCCTTGCACCACAATGCCATAGCTTCATATTCTTCGTATATTTCCTAGTTTTGTCCCTCTTATGCAGCACTCAAAACACACAATCCAGAATTAGTCCCTTGAAGTAATATTTTCAAGATGTAGGGCGTGACTCATCATTGCTATAAGGAATCAAGAGTAGTTGTTTACTAGTGCCAGGAATTGAACCCACAACTCTGTACATACAAGGCAAGAGTTCAATTCCCAGTCTAGGAATCAAGCCTTTAAAAAATTAGAGGCCACCGAATGCAGGTCACGGAGCCAGGTAGACATAGAAGATAACCAGATGTCTGAGTTATGAGATACCCGCTAGCCACAATGCCCATGTACATAAATGCTGATCTTTGAATCTATAGGCTAAGGAGTAATGTGCTTTTAAATGGATTGGTTAAAAAAGTATATGTTGTTACGAATCTACTGGCCATGAAATGCGTGGGCTCTGCTGTAACAGCCAGTGAAGGCCTATATAAGATCTCCTTTGAAGAAGCTCGGGGTCTTGCTTGACGGCTTGACCCTGGCTAGCCAGCTCAATAAACTACCTGCTTGCTGATTGAAAAACAAAATTAAAATAGAAGAAATTAGAACACACAATATGTGGTGCAAGCTACCATCTTCACATAAAACTTTTGTTATATTTATGGAACTATAAACTGGATTAGCAAGGTAAAATGCATTTATTACTGGCCATGTGGTTCAAAAAAAATTCTGAAAGCTACTACTTCAGAGTATGTTATATAGAGAGATAAGAGAATATTTTCCCCAGTATTATTAATATTCATGCACAATGTTTTATTGACTCATCATTACTGGAGGAAATTAAAGGTCAAGTACTAAATACAGAAATCTTTATATTTGGGAGAAATATTCAAGTGGGGGAGTTTTAAAGTAGCACATGAAAATGAGCTAGGAGCTGCACATAAACTGCAACAGGAACTGATGCCAGTTAAAAGTTACAACCAAGAGTTCTTGTTTCCTGAAGGGCATTTGCCACACCAGGTAGGATGTGCGCCGAGAGGGATGCTATCTGCCACAGAGTGTAACACCAGTATCTTACAGAAAGGGGCAGAAAGTACCTATGATCACAGCAGATAACAGGCTAGAGATTTATCTTTTTAAATGAAGGGTTTTTTCTTTTTCTTCCCTGACCAGGGAAACAGATATGAAAGACAAATGTATGGCTCGCAAGTATTTTCCTACTTTTTTTTCCTCTTTATTGTCCACACTCTCCAATGTTCAGGGTTTACTCCTGGCTCTGCACTCAAGGATCCTGGTGATGTCTGGGGTGATAAAACCCAGGTGAGCAGCACGTTACCCACTGTGTATCTCTCCAGCCCTATCTATACTCTTTTCTTCACCCTCACAACGACCTGAATGCATTATGTGTGATAAACTTTGAGTCCAGGTGTGTTTAATCAGTAGGTAACTTCCGCCAAGTCCAGAGCTCCTAACGTCGGTTTTGTTATGTGATATTCAAAACTTTCCTCTACCTCCCGTACTCCTTGGCCGTGAATTCCCGCCCGCCCCCACCCCCCCATCAATAGGGGGCTCCCTCCGCGTCCCCCACCACCACCAAAGCGGGGAAGACCAGCTGAGTTGAGAGCTAACAAGTGTATCATTCCATGTCCATCTCCACCGCTTCATCACAGTCGTGATGCGCTTCAGGCCAATCAAACTAAGGCCGATGCATCTGGGGCTGAGAAAACTGGGCGCTGGATTCCCACAGCCCGACGGCAGAAGCTCCGACCTTGGCCAAGCTTAAAGCAAGCAACAGCCAACGACCGTGTCAATGATCCTCAAAGTTACGTGTCCAGTGTTACGGGCCTTCCACCGGGGACCCGACGGCCTTATCTCTTCGGAACAGCAGCGTGGAGGGGAGGGAAGGCGCCCGCCGCGGGGGCGCGGGGCTGGCCGAGCAAAGACCGGTCTCGGGGACCCCCTGAGCCGGGGCTGAGTGGTGCGGCAGGTCAGGTGGGGGGTGGGGAATTGGGGTTCCCCGGGCACTCGCCGTGGCGGAGCTCGGGGGTCGGGGGCGGGGGAACGAACGCGTAGCAGCCGCCAAGTTGGCGGAGCGGTTCCCCCACCCCCACCGCCCAGGGCTGCGGGCAGGGCTGCGGGGGGCGGCGGGGCCCAGGTGCGCGCCTCTCCCACCTGCCCCGGCGCGGCCCGGCCCGCCTCACCTCCTCGCTGTGCGTGGACGGGCACTTCTTGCGCAGGCGGCCCCAGTTGAGCAGGTTCCCGGTCTGCAGGTGCAGGGTGCTGGCCCGCGCCAGGAGCGCCCCGGCCGCGCGGCTGTCGGTGCCCATGGCAGCGGCCGGCCCAGGGTGGGGGGATGCGGCCGCAGGCGGGGGAAGGAGGCCGGTCCGCAGGGGACGCGCCGCCCGGGACCGGACCGCCGAGCGCGAGGCTGGTTGCCCCGCGCGTGGGGGGCCGCCCTCGGCCTGCGCTCGGGCCCGGGACGGGCCGGCCGGCCGGGAGTGGACGCACCGGGGGCCGCCGCGGGAGAGCCGGCTGGCGGTCGCCGCGGGAGCCGTTTCCTGGAAGACAATGACTAAGCAGAAATCGCCGCCCAGAAAGTGCTTCGTAACCGTTACCCGTCCCGCGGCGGGGCGGGGCGGGGCGGAGAATGGGACGCGGGTCGCCGGCGGCCCGCGGGGAGGGAGGGGAGAACTGGCGTGCAGCGAGCGGGTGCGCGCGCGCGCGAGCGGCGGAGAAGCCCCGCGCCAAGGGCCGGGCTCCGCGCGGTGGGGCGGGGCGGGGCGGGGCGGGGCGGGGCGAGGCGCGGCGCGGCGCGGCGCGGCGCGGCGGCCGGGACCCGCGCTCGGGAGGGCGCCCCCTGCCGACAGGCCGAGCGCCGCGTGCAGGTCCTCCGCGCGCGCGCGCCCCGGGCCTCCCCTCCCCGCGCGTGGGCCCCGTGCGTCACGCGGGTGGGTTCCCCGCCCTGGGCAAGCCCCAGCCTGCTGCCTCTCTCGCAGTCAGGTGTCGCTGCCCCAGTAGCTCCCGCTTGTTCTCTTCTCTCTCCTCTTAGTTCATTTCCTTTCTTGAGCACTTTTCCTTCCAAGTTTCTTTTTTTTTTTCTCCTTTCCCCCACCCCACGTCAATGAAAAGTGCTCATTTTCCCTTATTTGTCGGGCAGCGTGTGGTGAAGTCGAGGAATACAACTTAATCTTTGCCCTGGAGGCACTTATGCACTTACATCCAGAGACAAGGTCTAAATACGTGAAGCAATAACGATGCGAGGATACTGTATTTTAAGCTTACGTTCCTGGTTTAATTAAAGAGAATACTTAAACCGTTGGCATCGGAGAAGACTTTATCACTAATTCGCTGGTGTTGTTTTCCTTGCATTTAGGGTAGAGTTAGGATGAGCCTCATAAATGGTGGGTTTACTGTATTGAGAGTAATGTGACCTGTTAAAAGGCAACTAGAATCATGAGTTCTAGTTGCTGAAAACTAGGGGAAGGGTGAAAAAAAGAAGCTCCAAGAAGAAGGTTAGAAATTGAACCTGATCTTGAGTAAATATTTGTTGGCTGAACAAAGGTCAGTAAGAATTCATTAAAGATAAGAATTATCCCAGAAGCAGGTACAAACATACACTATTTATGTCCAAACTTATGTACACATTTAATTCTGAGGCTGAATTCAGTATGACTGCTAGAATGCTAATTTGATCGTTTTCTTGACTTTTTTTTTCCACAGTCTATAATGTGTGCAAATAATACTCAAAACTTAGAGGCTGTACTTCCTAGACAATCCAAACTGCCTCTGTGATGGGAATTTATAGCATATTGGTCAAGAATGTTGGCAATAACATAAACCCTGTAGCTTGCAAAGATGTCTTTACTCAGGAAATGGCAAGTAACTTTATTTTATTTATCTATTTTTGGCAGATGATGGTTTCAACCCCTCGAAATAGCTGTTAATGGTCTTTTTGTTTTGCTTGGGTCGCACCTGGTTTGGTGTCCCCCCCCCCCCCCCCCCCCCGTGATATCAAGGGGCACCATGCAGTGTTGGGGACCAGACCCAAGACTCCCACAAAGCATGTTCTCTATGCCCTTTGGGCTAGATAGCTCCTAAATTTATAATCCATCATTTTTAATTTTTTATTACCCATAGTTCCACCTGTCTGTCACATTGGGTATGCAGAAGGAATAATGAGAGAATTTAATGAGAGAATTTACCGAACTCTTTTGTGGGGTTGATGGGGGTTTGGGTCACTCCCAGCTGTGCTCAGGACCATTCCAGGAGTGAGCCTGGGTGGTGGGCAGGTACTGGGGACAGAACCAGGACAGAACAGAAGCAGCTATTGGCAAAACATGTGCCTTACATGCAAAGCAAGTACCTTACATTCTGTACTATCTCTCTGGTCCAATTCAGCAAACTCCTTTCAGGAATCAGGGGTGTAGCTCAGCGGCAGAGTACTTACTTTGCATGTTGAAGCCCTGGCACCTCAAAACAAAAAACTCTTAATGTATTATGTATTATGTAATGTATTATGTAGCTCATTATAAATTGTTCAGTGGACGCCCTGATTATATAATTCTTTATATTATATAATTCTCCATTCTTTCCCTCTTAAAATCCTGTTCTCATGACACTGGCAAACTTATGACATGAATTCTCAGTATCACTATATCACTGTCATCCCCATTGATCATTGATTTACTCAAGCAGGTGCCAGTAACATCTCCATTGCTCCCAGCCCTGAGATTTTAGCAGCCTCTTCTTACTCGTCTTTTCCCAATGATTGAAAGCTCTTTCAGGGTCAGGGGAATGAGACCTGTTGTTGTTACTGTATTTGGCATAGCAAATACATCACGAGGAGCTTGTCAGACTCTGCCCGTGCGGGCGGGATACTCTCAGTAGCTTGCCAGGCTCTCCGAGAGGCATATATTTATATATTTATCTCTATGATTTGTTGCCTACTGTCTGAATTCCATCAGATATGGCTAAGTAACCATGAAAATAGGTAGGAAGTATCTTATAAGTGTCTTCTGGCTTCACAGCTGCACAGTCCGGAAAGCGGCCTTGAGCGTGGCAGTGGTTGGGCAGTGGAGGTCAGCTGCCAGGGCTGGGTCCCTTGGGGTGGGGAGGGCTCTTACCCGCCCCATAGCCTGGTGCAGAGTCCTTAGTAGGCATCCAATTATGGTTTTAAATTAACACATGTCAAAACGTTTACTCTTTACAGCAACTCAGATAAGTAATTGTGTTGAAAACCTCACTATTAATAAGTGTTGGATCCCCCACCCATCAAAACCTAGATCCTTTATCTTCAAACTCTTTCCCCTTACCCTTCACTGCTACTGTTTATCACACATGAAGAGTATTTTGGGGAAATGGGAATTTGGGCCTACTGGGTAGTGCTGGGCTCTGTGCTCAGAGTTTGTTCCCTATGGTTTCAGCTCCCAGAAGTCAGCTGTATGCAGCAGAAGTGCCTTATCCCCATACAAACTCTGGTCCATGAAGGATTTAAAACTTATTAAAGTGATTTAAGGGCCAGAGAGTATAGGCACTTGCTTCGCAAGCCACCAACCCTGGTTTGAATCCCCTGTGCGATATATGGTTCCCTGAGTACAATCAGGAGTGAGCCCTGAGCACAGCTGAGTGTGCCTGAATATTTAATCGTCGATTGCCTCGAGCAGGCCCCAGTAACGTCTCTTTCATCCTAGCCCTGAGATTATATTCAAGGCTTTTTAGGAGAATGAGACCCATCATTGTTACTGGTATTTGGCATATTTGGTGCACCACGGGGAGTTTGCCAGACTCTGCCCTGTGGGCAGGCTATATTCGATAGCCTGCAAGTTTCTCTAGAGTAGGAATGAGATAATGAGATATCATAAAAAGATGTTCTGATAAGATGTCGCGCGGCCGCAAATGCGGCCGCGCGGTTCCGGGAGCTGCATTTTGTAGTCTCTGAGTCTTGGCCGCTGATGGGATTACACGGCGCCAGGGGGCCAGGTGGTGGGTGTGACCCCCGCCTACTGGAATTTGGAGGATCTGGGTGGAGGATGCTCGACTCCAATTCGAGTAGGCTTGGAGATCTCGGCCCCGGAACCCGCGTGGCTTTGTCCCTCTGCCAGTACCTTCATGTGTGCGGAGAGTGGTCTCAGCATGGTGGTGGCTGGTCCTGGAGGTCTTCGGCTGCCGGAGCCCTGGTCGGGGTGGGGAGGAAAGCTCAACCCGCTCCCCTCCAAGGGACCCCGGCGAACCTATATATATATATATATATATAACCTATATATATATTTAATATACCTATATATTAAATTTCTTGCCCTTCTCTCTCCCATCCCTTCATCTCTGTTGTTGACTCTTTTTGCTATGATGACCAGGGGTCAGTTGTCTGCCTGGCAGTTACGTTTATGGTCAGTTGTGATGCTTCTTACACTGTGGAGCTTACACACGTGCTCACTGGGGGTCACACTCTTACTCAAGGCACATAAGTTATGGCTGGGGTTCTTGCCAGGGGTTCTCACAGTGCTTACCCGATGCCACAGTGGGCTGCACACCCTGCCTGAGGGGCTCTCACACCTTTTCTGTTGTGATGCTCTCTGAAACTCGCACCCAGCCTTGTTCTGTCGTTAGCACCAAATGGCTGTGATGAGGCTGGAAAGTGCTGGCCATGCCAGGAATCATACCCAGCAGAGCAGCCAGGCTCCACAGCAGGCTTGTTGGATCATGCTCAGCGCATGAGGTGCAATGGGAATCATTGGGGGGGGGGGGGGGCAGGCACACCCGGCGGCGCTCAGAGGCTGTTCTTGGCTCTGTGCTAGAGAGTGATACCTGGAAATGCAGAATTCAAACTGTGCCTTTAGCCTCTGGCCCTCATACCTGAACTAATGACTCTATTCTCATAAGGCAGGTGATCTAAGGTCCTCTAGTCCCCAAAAATGCCTTCTCGCTGCATCGTCCCACAACAGAAGGGGCAAGGGAGAATGACCGACATCCATCCTGTTCATGAGAGTGCTGCCCCCTGACCTAATCACCTCCCCTAGGTTTCTCTACTTAGCAGCGTCAAATGAACATTCACTAGGATAGTTAGGATTTCAACAGGGAAGTTTTAGGTGGACACAAACACTGTGGCCTTTCCCACAGTTTGATTTACTCTCAAACGTTAACTTTTCTCTTTCCCTATTTATTCAGCTGATGAAGGCTTCAGTCAGTCATGAGACTCGATTAAACAATGCCAGCAGGAGCTCTGGGAGGGCAGACCTCACATGCATTAGGGTGTGCCCTGTTGGTCCTCTGCTACGGGCAGCACTCAAGCGGGCAGCTGCAGCAGCTAACTCATACTATGTTCTGAATGTGCTTCTCCTGTGGTAGTTTATTCTCTTACTAGGAGCTTCAAGTACTAAGGAAGTAGTTGCTTGTTTAGTCTCATGTCACATTTAGTTTTCCTTCCAGCATTTTCTTTTTTGTTTTGGTCACTGTCTGTTGGTGTGTGAAAACATTTTATTTCTTTATAGCCAAATCTCATGTCTTTTTCTTTGTGGTCTCAGCCTCTGTGGTTTCAGCTTGGACAGACCTTTTCCACCTCAAGAGAGCAACAACTACTCCAGCTTTACAACTTTTCCTCCTTTGGATGGGAAATAGATGTCATCTACTTCAT